GCAGTACTGGGGTTTGAGCTCAGGGTCTCATGCTTGCTAGGCAGGCACTCTACCATTTGGCCAGACACTAGAGTTGATTCTTGCATTAAGTGGTGAGATAAGACCCATTTCCATTCTCTGACATAGATATCCAGGTTTCCCAACCCCATTTATTGGGGAGACTGTTGTTCCCCTATTTTGTGTTCTTGGCATATTTGTTGAAAATCAATTGACATTAGATATGAGAGTTTATTTCTTAACTCTTTTTTTGTATTTCAGACATTTTGATCTTGCTCTCTATCAACATTTTTACCCATAAAGGAAATACAAAATGAAACTACACTGAGATTCATTGTCTTTTATAAGCCAATACTATTTTGGTTTGATTATTGTAGCTTTACAATACATTCTGAAATCTGGCAAAAAAAAAAAAAAAAAAACCCTTGAGGAAATAAATTACAGAAGACACCAGAAGAAAGACTTCCCATGCTCATGGACTGGCAGAATTAATATTGAGAAAATGGCTATACTACCAAAATTCCAACATCATTGTCCACATAAACAGAAAAATCCAACCTAAAATTCATATGAGAACATAAATGACCCTAAATAGAAAAGTAATCCTGAAGAAAAAGCAATGTTGTAGGTATCACAATACTGGACTTCAAACTTTATCACAGAGCCATAGTAACAAATACAGTATGGTACTGGCATAAAAACAGACATGAAGCCCAAAGGAAAAGGGCATCCAGAAATAAACCCACACAACTACAGCCATCTGATTTCTAACAAAAGAGTCAAAAATATACATTGGAGAAAAGATAACCTCTTCAACAAATGGTGGAAAAACTGGATCTCCACATGTAGAAGACTGAAACCAGGCCCTAATCTCTCATTCTGTATAAAAATCAATTCAAAATGAATCACAGATCTTAATGTAAGATTCCTAACTTTGGAACTACTACAGGAAAGCATAGGGGATGTAGATATAAGCATAGGTAATTATTGTTTGAATAAGACTCTAACTGCCCAGGTAATAAGAATAAAGACAAATGAGATTACATCAAATTAAAAAGCTTCTGCACATCAAAGGAAACGATCACCAGAATGAAGAGAAAATCCACAGAATGAGGGAAAACCTTTGCCAGTTATTCATTGGATAAAAGATTAATATCCAGAATATAGAAAGAGCTGAAAAAATTAAACATCAAAAGAACAAATAATCCAATTAATAAATGGGTAAATGAACTGAACAGAAAGTTCTCAGAAAAGCAGAAATGGCTAAAATAAATATGTGAAAAAATGCTCAACATTTTTAGCCATAAAGGAAATACAAAATGAAACCACACTGAGATTCCATCTCATCCCAGCCAGAATGGCAATCATCAAGAAAACAAACAACAAATGCTAATGAGGATGCTTGGGGTGGGGGAGGGGAGGAAGTGGCCCTCATACCCTGTTGGTGGAAGTGTAAATTAGTGTAAACACTATGGAAATGAGTATGGAGGCTCATCAAAAAGCTAAAATTACACCTACCATATATATGTCCCTACTATACCACTCTTGGGTATGTACCTGAAGGGGTATAAATCTACATACAAGAGATACCAGGAGCTGGTGGAATGGCTCAAGTGATAAGTAGGGTGCATGCCTAGCAAGCATGAGGCCCCGAGTTCAAACCTCAGTACCACCTGAAAAAAAAAGAGAAACACCCATATTTATAGCAGTACTGCTCACAAATAGCAAAACTGTGGAATCAGGTCAGGTGACCAACAACTGACAAATGGATAAAGAAAATGTGGAATGCTGGGCACATATCCTAACTACTCAGGAGGCAGAAATCAGAAGGATCTTGGTTCAGTGCCAGCCCGGGTAAACAGTTCACAATACCCTATTTCAAAAATACCCAACACATAAGAGGGTTGGTGGAGTGGCTCAAGGTACAGGCCCTGAGTTCAACCCCCAGTACCACGAAAAAAAAAAAAAAAAAAGATAATGTGGTATATATACACAATGGAGATTTATTCAGCCACAAAGAATGAAATTATGTCATATGCAGGAAAATGGATGGAACTGGACATAATCATATTAAGATAAACCAAGCTCAAAAAGCTAAATACTGCATGTTTTCACTCATATGTGGAATCTAGACCTGAAATATGATGATGGTAATAACAATAATAATAATAATAATAACAGTACTATAACATGAGCATAAAAGGGGCACTGTCTGTGGGGGAAATCAGTAGATGGGGAGGGGGAAAAAGGAAAGGGTACTCATATGTATGTATGAGGACAGCATAATGAAACTCATTAAAAAATGAAAATGTGAGGGAAGGGTGGGAGGTTAAGAGAATATAATGGGGGAATGAACTTATTCAAAGCAAATCTATGGGTATATCACAATGAAACCCCCTTGTACAATTAATGTATGCTAATAAAAATTAAACTACTTGATAACAGAAAAGTAAATTAACCATAACACATCAGCCTAGTTTAATAAAGTTGTGCAGGGAGAAGAAAATGTATGCTAAAACTAAATTCTTATACAGTCATCTTGATAAATAGATTCGATCTACTACAACATATCACCATTGCATTAATGGAAATATTTAAATACTTATTTTTTTAAAATAAAAACTATGAAATGATTTCTAAACATATTAAGCTATGGTTGCCTTAAGTTTATGTTGCAACCCTAGACAACAAAGACAGTCATCAATAATTCTCTTCAAATTTAGGAAAACAAACAAACCCCCCAGGTCATCCCAAAGAGTCCTGAGAGGAAATAATTGCACCATCACACAAAATCTTTAGAACATTGTATTTCATAAAAGACAATGATAAAAAAGTACAAACGTTTTCATGAGAAGCAAAAAAAATGAGAGTACAAGAGATCACCAGCATTTATTTCAGTGCATTTATGTAGAAGCCTTTCATATCTTAATAAATAAAATAATCTTAAGTACACTTCCTCTTTCTGATAAACAACACTGTGACCGTTTTGGTTCTCCCAATTAACACAGTTAGAAATCCAAGGCAGTATATCTAGAATGCTATTTATCTGAAAAATACATGAAGAAATATAATAGAGGCTAGCAAAGGCCAAATAAAAAGACACAAAATCTGCTTTCACTTATAAGGAACCTCCAGAAGGATAATATCATATTGGATCATTTTCCATTTTGTTTAAAAATGGTTATCAATATCTTGGCTGGTACAGGATTATAAGTTTTTAATATATAATTTTATATTTATATAACATTGTAAAGAAGGTTTTCTTAATGAACACCTTTTCACAAAGTAAGAACAGAAATTTAAGTTTAGATTTTTAAAAAAACTAACTAAACCATAGTTTTGGCAAAGAATTAAATGACATCTTTACTGTGAATTAGACATGATGTTACACAAAAGTACTCACTTCCCCCCCCCCCTTTTCTACAAAACACACCCACTGTTATTTTTCTTTCTCTAGTTGAAAGGCACTATGTAATTTTCCCAGTGCCACAGGGACCTCATAAAATCTGTATGTCCACACAGGTTTCTTTGCTTTGAGACTAAAACATACAAGGATGTCTTCATAATTTCAGAAAGGTTTCAACAATGAAGGTAACTGGGCAAAACTATCATTCTTATAGAAACATATAAAAGTCATTGTTCATAGTCAAAATAATTTTAGGTCTCTACTTAAAAAGCAAAAAAGTTGAAATCAAACTTATGAGGTGGTTTTCACAGCATGACATGCCATATTCAAAATTTAAAAAAGGCAAAATATTTACATCTAATGCCTAAAAAATATTAACAGAAATATTAGAAAATTTAACAGAAAATAAGGCAAATACTGAGTTCTCTTGAGACTGTAAATGAAGAGATATCAAACGTGGACAGCCCCACATCAAAATGAGAAAAACACGTTTCCTGAATAAAATTCAGAAACAGTGTTAACTTCTCCCACCACTAAAATATTGTGTTACTAGGTTAATTATGCACCTATGCCCCTACTATCTTGTTAGTGGTTAACAAATGTTAACATTACCATTCTACTATCTTTCATTTCCCCTAATTAAAACACTACATTAGCTGTGAGAGACAGAAAACAAAATGACCAGATAAATTAAGTAAAAACACTTAAATTTTCAGAAGGTTTGATTTTTCACTATTTTAGTATCACAAAAAAATTGAAAGATAACTATTTTGGAAGTATAGAATTCTAAGAAATAAATATGGAAAAATTCTGCCTGGTATCATGATAGAGAAATCATCCAGTATTCTCAAAGTATAAGATTTTTGATTATTGTATGATTTGGCTGTGGTTACTTTACTTTGTGTACCAAATTGCCATAGAAAATGATACTTGAAAATTAAACTTATAAACTGAGATAAATAACCATATTTCTGTTTCTAGGTGAACTACCCATGGGCAAATGTTATCCAAGCATTTTTCATGAATTAATGCTATCATTCTTCATTGTTGAAGATTCACTTGGTAAAATATACAATTTAAAGTACTGTAAGGTATTTTAAAGAGTCTTTATATTTGATAATTTTTGAAGTAAGAATACTGTTTGGTTTTGCCATGGAAAACTTCATTCAATTTTAAGATGCATATATTTGATATTAGGTAGTAAGACCTGCTTTCAGAAGTGCATTTAAATAACTGATAATGTAGTTTAAGATAATTCTAGAGGCCCTGGGTTCAATCCCAAGTATCACCCATACAAAAGATAATTCTATTAAATAATAATTTTAGTGAAGAAATTTTAATAATTAATACCAGAGATTTCCTGAAAGTAAAAAACAATAGTTTGAATGAAACTTGCTGACATTTAAGGGTCCTTTTCAAAGGTGAAATTGTTTAAGTCTGATAATTAAACTTAAAATTTATTTTTTTCTATTTATCTTCATAAAAATAGAACATTTCATTTCTTATCTAATACTATAATTCATCTGTATAAGTTCTACCAGGTTTTTCATAGTTCATTATTTAAAAAAGAACAATTAAATTTTTTAAAAAATTAAAATTTTTTTTGGCTCTTCTAAACTGAAAAATAATAAAAAAGTGCTGTTCACTATGAAATTAAAAAAAATACAGTGTGTAAACACACAACCTTGGGAACACTTTTTGAGGCACAGGATCCCTGACACTTACACAGAGGTACGTAAAAACATTTAACGTAAAGAGGTCCTTAGTATCATGTCACATCACAACTTTTAAGATTTTCTTGGTAATACTCATGCAATATGCATAAACAATATGGTTGTGATTTAGCAAAATCTGATTAAATTGCAAGCAAGGAAAGAAATAGGTGATCCTAGCAGGAAGAAAGCTGCGTAAGTCCTTTCTTCTTTCCCTTTAAAGCCCTAAGAAAGCTGTGACTTCTTCCACATGGAGGCTGAAGGTCTAAAGCTGAAAACTAGTATAACAGTTTACTATATTAATTCACTGTCAATTATTGACAGTTCCTTCATTTCACACAAGGGTTAACCTTTGCTTAGTGATATAAATTTACAGTGTTTTTCTCATGCAAATAAAAATGTCTATAAAAGTCCAAGGCATAACCAATTACATGCAAACTGCACATCTTATTTTTCAACAATTTAAACACATTAATTTACATCACATATGTACAAAATATGTTTGAACAGAAATAAAAGCATTCTCTTGAATTAAATTACAGATTTGAGTATAAAAATTTTCTCTTTGTGGGGAGCTCTCAACTTCCAATCTTAAGCAATCACTTGTGGTTCTGCAGTGCTTGCCATGGAGTGTGTGTAGTAGAGAGGAGAGGTGAAGAAGGTGATTGTATATAGTCCCACACTGTAAACACTAAGGAATGCTGACTCTTCTCACAGATCAGGGCACTGAGACACACTGATTGCTGACCTCCATTAAGAGAGCACAAAGTTCATGTTCGTGATCCAGCATTGTGGTCCATCTTGCCACGAGAGCTACTTCTTTCAATAGTCTTCGATTGGAGCTAATTCTGGCATGAGGTTTACAGATATATTTGTATACAACCTATCAACCAATATTTTTGGTGTATATAATAAATTGTTCAACCCATCGATGTACTGACGCTCTTTAGAATACCTTAGTAATTTATACCTACAGCATTAGAGAAGAAAACAAAAAAGTGACAGAATCATATTCAAATAGGGAAATTGGTGCAAAATATGTTCTAGGTCATGTTGTAATTAAAGCATTTACAGTTCTTTACAATATTGGATCTCATGGATATTTAAAAGTCTCTAAACCATTACTCTAAATTACCATTTTTACTCTCAAAAATCCCACCTGAAATATAATTTTATCTTCAGGAAACAGTTTTTTAATTAGGTAACTGGGTTCTTTAATGTATCATAAATATGTGTGCATGTGTGTCTATCTTCAAAAGAAGCTCTAAAAATGTTTTCCTTTCATAAGCAAACATCTCTTTGGCAGACTGCTTTGGGATGCAGTATCTTTTTTAAACTGTCATATATTAAATAGTTTTGTAGATGACATTAAACTTACCGTCCTAAAAACTGGACTTCTCCTCGATGGTGATGAGGAATAGACTTGTATTTTCCTAAGTCTCCCTCTGGTCTGGTTACATTATATCCAGCATAGTGAACTCTACAAAATAAAAATGGATTATATAATTTCAATTTCAAAATGCAAAATGTGCATGCTACCAATAATTTTAGAAGATGCTTAATGAAAGAGAGAAATAAAAAACAGGACCGAGGAGCCTCACAATTTTTTATCACTAAGACTCCTTTCTTGGAATAGGCAAATATAATTTACCTCATAGAAATGAAACTTAGAAATTCTATTATTAAACTATATGTATCTCAACATACCTGTTCCAAAGGTCATCATCTTCTCCTCCCCATCCCCAGAAGGCATTAGGAAAACCATTGATCTTTCTAAACTGTTCCACAGTCAGTCCACTTACACCACCAAAAAACTCTTTATAGGGGAGACTAAAAAAGAAAGCAGGACACAGCATGTTAAAAATGAAATCATAATATGAGATGAAATTTTTAGTGTTTCATATACTTGGTAAAATATATCCCTATTTTCCAAATAAATAACTGGACTGATTAAATAGTGTTCTGGAAAATGTAAGCCAAGAAACAAAACATTTTAATATTATGGTGAACAAATACTGTGCTATGTTAAACACAAAGTAATACTGTAGCAACTGAAATTCAATATTTAATACTGCTAATTTTTAAGACTCAAAATCCGTGTTCAAAAATTATATAATATTCTCACAATAAAACCAAACTTTATTAATCAATCAGTACTACCAATGCAATGTTAGATTTTGCTAAATTAATAACATTTTTAAAGTAACTAAATTTATAAATGCATTGCTTATTATATAAAACAGGATAATACAAATTAGAAAAGCAAATCTAGCCCTGAATACTGAAATGACTAGCTGCCTTACAACAATTCTATTTGGAAAAACAAAACATTCATGGTTATTTATGAACATATTTATTTTAAATGGATTAATATTTAGAGAAATAACTATTTCAAAATTTGAATTTTATTTTCCTTACCCTTTCCTCAACTTATATTCCAAATAACCTATCAAATCATGCAATATTTTTAAGCTACATTTTTAATAATCTAAGCTGTTAAATTAGATAGGAATTGGTTTTTCGATGTTGAGGTAGCAACCCCTAAGACTGTAGGACTCTCCCATGGCCCAAAATGTGCTTCTTGGGAGTGGTATGCCTTAAGGGGTCAGGAGAACATGCAGCACAACAGAGAAAACATAACCAGGCATAGCACCCAAAAATCAAGATGATGGACATTTGGCTGGAGCAAAAACAAAACTGTCTCAGAAAAAGGAAAAGAGCAGATTTAACAATTTGTAAGGTACTTGATTCACTTGCTGTGGGGAGGAAGTGCTGTTTGCAGTTGGAATCTTATGTGGCACACAGAATCAGAGAAAAACAACTCCCACACAGAGCCAGAAGACTGTAGGAGAAAGCAGTCTTGCACTCAACCTGGGCCAAGGACACCCCAAGATAATAACAGCAACACTTGCCCTAAAGATAACCATACTGTATCAGGAAGATTCCACAAGGGTTACACGTGGATGCCCACAGTTCTAGGGAACAGTACTGATGGGTCTCCCAGAGAGTCAGTGCTGTATTTTCTATACCAGTTGTATTATTCTTACCTAGGTTTGTGAGAAATCTAAGATCATTAGTACCAAGATATTAATAAGGGCTTGGGGTGTAGCTCAGTGATACAGCATTTGCCTAGCATGTGTGAGGCCCTAGGTTTCATCCCCAACACTGAAGGAAAAAAAAAAAAGATAAAAGACACCCAATAAATGTGGGTGTGTGCTTACTGACATGTATAAACCATTTAGCCTAATTAGGTCTACTTGCTGTCTTGCTTAGGTGGAAACAACCAATATAGTACACAATGGAAAAAGACTAAGATAAAACGAAGTTCTCACAGATAACTAAAGAAAAGAAACCAGAGCAAAATACTGTCGTGCCTATCTTACCCTCTCCACAGCAGGAGAAACACAGTCTGCATGGTTACCTGGGGTCAGAGTGTGAGCACAATGGTGGGTTGAGACTCCTCCCTAGGCTTCATCCTATGACAAAAGTATGCACTGTCCCACCCATGCCACTCTTCCTATACTACCTTCCAATTTCTAAGCAAGTCTCCCAGATCTCCTACAAATCCTGGGACTAGTCCAATGGATATGAATGTATTATCCATTAGAAACTGGTATTTTTAAAAATAAAAAATTAACTCAGAATTCTCAGTTTGCATGAGCTTTTATGATGTTTTTTAGTGAAAATCACTTACCCTGGATCTAATCTAATTCTAGTCAGCTGACTAAAATCAAGTTTCCATAAGTCTTAAGAGCCAGATCATAAACCCTGACAGCTTCCCCCCAAAAAACTCCAGACTTGGAGTTCAGATGGAGAATAATAAGGAAGATAATTTGTAATGATGACAGTGACTTAGCAAAACTAAAACACTGTCCCCCCAAACATTCTTGTTTTTTCATTAGTTTTGTTTTTTTCTTTTCTGATTTTGATGCCAATTCATTAGCTCATGTCAATGGAACTTTGAGTCTCTCTCTACTTTGTAGGTCAGACACCAGCCAAAATTATGACATAGGCAACATTTTCCCTGCTCCAGACAACAGTTTTCTCTTTTTTCCATTTCTATCAGTCAATGAAAACTGTGATCTCTTTATCAGATTAGATCTTATTTGTTCATGTCAACTTCAGTTATTCTCACAGCTCTGATAATTGTTTAAATTTTAAGGTATCTCCAGTTGTCAGCAAATGAAAAGATTTGTTTCTTATAATTAAGACAGGTCAAGGAATGAGTAAGTTTAGGAAGAAGAAACATTACAGAAGGAAAACCTTCATGACCCTGAACCATTTCTAAGGGGAAAGAAAGTAGTAGGGGCCAGCATGGGCTATGGAGCTACTAAGGGAAGGCTCAGGGCAAGTGTGAGCCCACTGAGGAGTCCTACAGATGGGGGATATCATTCCAGTGAAAAGGAAACCAAATTTCAAAAATATACGTAACTGACCAAGTCCTACAAGTGTGAGAATTCGGCTGAACCAGGCTCCATCCCACCATACTACACCCAAACCTTATATAATACGAAATGTTCAGATAGATGACAAGCCACTCTATGTCCTGGCTCTCCCAGGACAGCCTGGAGTTAAAGATGGTGTTCTTTAGGCTCCTGAGCTCTGTCAGAGTTAGGCACGTAATGCTGGTACCATTTCAATGCTATAACTGTACATCATACAATAACCAGAATAGTGCATATCACTTACATGTACATGTATTTATCCAGCTTTGCTGCAAAGTGACGTGGCATTTCTCCACATCCATAATAGTTCCGGTCATTTTCAGGTAGATGATCCACATCGTGGAAGATCACACAGTCCCAGACACTGTCTTTCATAGCTTCTTTGAAGCCCACATTGAAGAGCATCGCACGATTAAAAGGTTGCGTGCCAGTCTTCACAGAGCAAACACAGACAGAAAAATAGAAAAGGACTCAGACTTTGTCATCTGACTTTTTTCCTACAATTTTCTAACTGGTTGAATCACAGTCAAGTAATAACAATTATACTTGAATAAAATAGACAAGTCATAACCATATGTTAGGATTTTTAAATACAGTCAGGCATCACTGAACAATGGAGGTACAGTCTGAGAAATGTGTCATTAGGTGATTTTGTCATTATGCAATGTAACTTTATGGGACTGCCACTGCACATGCAGCTTACGGCTGACTGAAATGTCATTATGTGGTACATGACCATACACTGTTTAAATTTACTGCTTACATTATTTTATATCTTGGTAACACAGAAAAACTAGATAATAGGTACTATCTAGTCTACTGGTACACAGTCATATAATAATGTAATCTGTATTTCTGCCTTACTTCAAATATCAGGTCACAGATTATGACCAGAAAAAATAGAGATAAAATAATTTTAAAAAACTGCACTAAAAATAACACTCTAAAGTAAAGTGCTTTACTTCTTAGTGGTGTTTCCTGTATATCATCAAAATTAAGGCAGGAGGGTAGGGGGTATAACTTGGTGACAGAGTACTTGTATAGCATGCATGAGACCCTGCGCTCCATCCCCAGCACCACACACACACACTCACACTCTCTCTCTCTCTCTCTCTCTCTCTCTCTCTATATATATATATTAAGGCAGGAAACTTGAAGTAACTCAACAAATTGTGCCTTTCTCTTCTATTGCAAAGCCAGGAGGTCTAACTTTGTATTTCTAATGTTCATAATAAGGACCAAGAGCATTTTAGAGACAAAAATAATTGAAACTTACTATACAAACCCAGCTTTCTTTGTATTCCTTTATTGGGGAAAATACATCAACATGCACAAGCAACAGTTTCTATTTTTGCCATTACTATTAAATTTATACTGTATTATACTATCGTATTTACTGTTGTAATATAATTATAATAGCATTTTAATGGACAAAATATAGGAACTTCACACACAAAACCCAACCTCCTGTACTGCAACCATTTTTCTTTATTTATAGCGAAAAAGTGCACTGGCAATAGAAAAGTTTTATCCCACATCTAAAGAAAATTAAAGAGTGGCTCAGGCCTGTGATCAGCTACTAAGGAGGCAGAGATCAGGAGAACTGCAGTTCGAAACCAGTCCAGGCAAAGAGTTCATGAGACCCTGTCTTGAAAAAACCCGTCCAAACAAAGGGCTGCTTGAATGGCTCAAGGTGTAGTCCTGAGTTCACACTCAGAGGAAGGAGGAGGAAGGAAAATACCTTAGCAACATTTCTCAAAATAATTTCCAAAATATGAAAAAAAAGAATAATTATGATAAAAGTGAATGAAACAACTCTGGAGTGCTGCCTCAGGAGTAAGAAATTACTCATTTTTAGCTCTGGGTCTTGTACTAACTTGAGGTCACAGAAATCACTTTACTTTTTATAGCTTCTTTACCAGTGAAATGGAGAAAATAAAAGGAAAGGGAAGTCAATTGTATTATTACTGGTATATCAACATCAGCTTTGACTTTCCTTTAAGGTCTTAAAATTTGTTTTTTATTAAATGTGTACATAACACATAAAAGAGTTATAAGAATAAGAAGTTCCAGTCCAATGCATTTTCATCAGCCAAAAGTAATACATATTTCAACTCTTCTAGCTGTTTGTTCTAACATTTACTTTCATACTTTAAGACAGTAAGAGTTCTGATATTTCTTGCTTGGTTAACTTCAGACACTGTCTACTGACTTCTTACCATGGCAATAAAGGAGTTAAACCACCAAACCCACTACTCCTCCCTCCAGTCTCCCAATATAGTTATATCATAAGTTTTGGTTAAATCAGAGTATATATTATTAAGATTATGTGAGCTAATTCTGGTTTCTTTGTTAAACTGAGATTAACTACAGTTTTCTATATAACTTATTACTTTGTAAGAAAGGCCCAGTAGATATGCCCTATACCATTAATAATTGATGTACTCATAGAAATACAAATCATCTATCAGTTCCTTCATTTCCCAAGCTCAATTCCCCCTGCCCTGACCTTCTGCTTCATCTAGTCTGGACTAGCTGCTATCATCTGGACTTCTGTTTCATGTCTTTTACTTGATTTACTTAACTTTCTGAGGCACATCCGTCAAGAGCTTCTTAAGTAAGGGCCCACAGGGAAAGTGTGTGTGTGTGTGTGCGTGTGTGCACGCGCGTGCACGGATGCACAAATGCATCTATGAACGAGTTACTGGAATGACTGGAATGCCACTGTCTACCCTCACAATTGAATTGATGTTTGACTAGGTCAAAAAAAATTCTAGGTTGAACATTATTTCTCCTTAAAATCTGGAAGACACAATCTTGCAGCTATCAGCATTGCTAAGAAAGTTAATACATTTCTGATTCCTACTTATTTTTCCTATAGAACCTTTTAAGTACTTTCTTTCATTTTTATTTAAAAAATTTCAAAATGTGCTTTATAATGGATCTACACTTTATTCATATATGCTTTTGGGCACTATTTAAAGCCTCATACCTTTACTTTGGAGAATTTTACTTTTTCTTTGGTCATTTTCTTCCACTTATCTGATTTTTTTTCTGCTACAGTTTTTCCAGAACTCTGTTTTAGTTTATTCTTTTAGTTATCTACAGATGTATTACTAATCACAGCAAAATCTGGCAACTTAAAAAAGCCAAGGGCCGGGGATATAGCTGAGTGGTAGAGCATTTGTCTAGCACGCGTGAGGTCCTGAATTTGAACTCCAGCATGGGAGGGGTGTTAAGTGGGGAAAGCCAATAGTCATTTATTATTCTGGTCACTTCTATGGAGGGGGAATTTTTGGAACAGAGTAAGGAAGCCTCACCTCTGCCCCCAGGTTTTCGGGGCCTTGGCCAGAAGGCTAGAAGTCTTGACTGGGACAAGAGGATCCACTTTCAAGGTGGCTCGCTCACATGGCTGGCAAGATGATGCTGGCAAGTCACTTCTTCTCCACAGGGTTGCCTGAGCAGGCTTATGTCACAGCAGCTGGCATCCCCAAGAATGAGTGTTGCAGGAGAGCATGATGGAAGCAGCATGTTATCTTTTATGACCCAGCCCCAACTCATGTACTATTATTTGCACAACATCTGGTTCTCTTTTGCAGGATGCATATCCCCATGACATACTGGTACTCTTAGATCTATACGCCTACTTTCTTTTGCTTTGGTTCTATTTTTAGGAGTTGTATTATCTCCCACCTCTTCTACTGAATGTTTTTAGGCATCACATTTCATTTTCAACAATGCTCTTATGTTATGATGTCCTATTTTTGTTTCATAGATAATCATTATTTTCTTGCATTTTGTGGACTCTGAGCTTTTTTGACTGTCTTAAGGATTTCCTCTGTTCTCTCCATCATCTCTATTTTTTGTACTTTTCTTTTTAAACCCCTATTTAGTTTTGTCTCCTTTATAGAGGCCTTCTTCAAAATCTAGGGATCTTTGGCTATCTATTTATGTTTGAGAATAAGGCACTACAAAGCAAAATGAATTTCACATATGTATACAAGAATTGTTTCAAACCACTCTTAACTTACATACAACACACACATAAATACACACCTAAACCAAAAAAGTAGGTCCTTCCCTGCCTCCAAGTGTTCCGAATGTTCACAGTTGAGGAAATGGCAATGTCCTTCATCGTTGAGGACAAAAACCCTGCCATCCTATTTGACTACTCTCTACCACTCACATAGCACACCCAACACCTCAGCAAATACTATCATGGCCTAAAACCAATCACTGCTCGATGCATCTGCCACTAACTCAGTAGTCCAGGTCATCACCATCTCCTATGCAGGCATCTGCAAAAGCTTTCTAACTGCTCTGCTCTCCTTATTTCATCACTATCTCATCTACAGCTTATTCTCTAAACAGCACCCAGTGCCATATTTTAAATGTGACATTCCTCCACTCAAAACCTGACAGAGTCTTCTGACCTCACACATGAGAACTCAAGTCCTTATCCTGGCCTGTTAAGTCCTTCATTATTTGTTTCTCAACCATCTCTCTGACTTCCTCTCCAACATTCTCCTTCTTTCAATGCTGTAGTGACACTGACCTCTCTGCTCAAACCATGCCATACACATAGTTTCCTCCTGCCCTGCCTGGAACACCACTCACCCACCATCACCCCATCAGCTTGACAGCTCCTGTACATCACGGAGTGTGCACTGAGCAAAATTCCTCAGACAAGTTTTCCTTACACACTGTATAAAAGAGCACCTCTCTCTGTTCATACCACTCTTTTGCCCTGAATCTTCTTAGCTCCAAGCGCTGCCTGACATCATAAAATTGTTGACAGTCTTTCCTCTCTAGAACAGGTAAAGGCCTAGTTTGTTCACTGCAGTATCCCCTTTGTGGAATGAAGGAAAGAGAGGTGCACAGGGGTGGTGATGTGATTAACTGGCCTTTCCTTTGGAGACCTCCAGTACTAGATCTGGAATCTTCTTGCTATGGCTAACCTATCTTTCTAATGAAGTCACCATTCATACCTTGCCATAGGTGAAGAGGCTGAGGGATTCCTATCTGTCTGTTGACCTCAAGAAGCTAGACAGGGAAGAGGTTTGAGCGACCTTTGGGTCAGTTTGCAGGCTGACTTACTCCCATCTTTAGCTTCTACAGAGGATAAACTTTTCATTTTTTATAGAATATAATGTAGCATTCATCCAGCAAGAGGAAAGATGAGGAACTGGGGCTATTAGTATTTTGTAATCAAATTTTCAACAATCTCCTCACCACAGCCCAGTGCTTCAGCCTATCTTCTGTACTATATTTCAAGTGCTGAGATTCTCAGGGTTTTGATTCCATTCATGTCATAATCACCTCCTGTAAGCACATGGTTAAATATCTTTAGCTCTGCCAGGCAGCTGTCAGTTCCATCACCCATTCTCATCTCTGTCCTCGTGCTTTGACAATTTATAAGGTTCCCCCTGCTTTCACTTTCAGTTATGGAGTTTGGAAGAGAGAAGAGGTAAAACCATGCACAAACCTCTACTTTTTAACTAGGATTTTTGAGCTGCTCTACAGTTTCTTGGCACTTTTCCTTGGTACCAATCCAGCAGAAAAATTACTTCTTTTTCATATGTGGTAAAGATGTTTCTAGCTCTAAACGAAACTATATCGAATAGACGGTCCTGAATTAATACTGATCAAGGATGAGATTCAGACTTAAGAGGTTTGAAAGTAAAAATCTGAATCTTAGGTGTTTTCCAAAAGTGTCTTCACATACACAAAATACTTCAGTGGTGCTGAACTCTTGGAGAATATGCCTTTAAAATCACAGAAAGATACCTATCTCCAGCACATTATGGATGAATGAAGTTTCAAGAAAGGAAACAAGCAGTCAGTAATACTGACCTAGAAATGTATAGCTATAGCTGTCATGAAAGTAGCTAAAGTTTTTGACTTGTTATCAGATCAAAAAGGTCACTTTTCATAGTATAGGTTGCTACATTAAAAAGTGCACAGGCTCCATATACATCATTATATACACAGGGAACAAAACTGAAAGTGTGTTTTATGTACCCAGAAGAATATTATATTAACCAAGTATTTCTAGGGGAAAAAGCAGAGGTGAAAAACTGAGAAAATTTTTAAAAAGAGGCAGATCCAGAATAAACAACAAAAGAAAAGAAAAACAACAACTAAGAATCTTAGGAGTAAAAATTTAAATACTTGGTACAAAAAAAAAGTACCATCTACACAAAGCTAGGTCACTTTATTATTCAATTATATATCTACTGAGAAACAGGAAAATAAATTCCAGCATGTCTTTTTATAGAAACTGACAACCAGATTCAATGGAACAGAACAGAGAGACCAGAAAATATGATACCTGTATGTTAACTCATTTTCCACAAAAGTGACAAAAAAGGAAAAGATAATCATTTTGATAAGCAGTAATGAAATAATTAAATAGCCATAGGCCAAAAAACATAAACCTTCACCCTTACCTCAGAGCATAAATAAAGATTAATTTAAAATGGATTAACCTGAGTCTAAGAGTTTTAAACCATAACACTCAGGAAAAAAGCATCAAGAGTACCTTAGAGAACAATTTCCTAAACACAAAACAAAAAGCACGCATTATAAAAATAATCAATAAACAGAACTTCATAAAAATTTTAATTTTTTATTTTTCAAAAACACTACCAAGAAAACAAAGGGGTAAGTACAGACTGAAGGGAAATATTTGCAGAACTTTTGTCTTCAACTCAGTAAAAAGAAGACAACCCAATTAAAAAGTAGACAAAAGATGTGAACCAACATTTTTTTGATAGCAAATAAACATATGCAAAGATAATCTACATTATTAGTCATGAAGGAAATACAAATTAAAGCTGCAATAAGATATTACTACAGACTCTCTCACCATGCCAAGTGTTAACAATGGGCTAAAGTGATAGGGAAGGTCAGTATACATTAATATAAAATCACTATGTGCTGCACACATATGCATCATAACAGTGGCATGGGTTGGCAAAGAGACCTAGTCTTCAAGTGCTATCACATTTCTTTTTTAAGTTTCCATAACATCACTTTATTCACATTTAAAAAGAATAGAAATAATTAAATCCTTTCATTACATTTATAATCACAGCTTGTTTAAAGACAAAGACCACAAAAGTAAATCAGGTTCATTTCAATTTTATTTAAATAGGCTATGTTAAGAAATTACAATTTACTCACTTTTGATAATATTTAATCAAAGGAAATAGAAGGAATTTTTTTCCTTTTCAATATTTGTTAGTTCTATTCTTTCTCTGGCTATCTGTATTTCTAAAACAATCATAGACTCTCCATTTTGAAAGGGATCTTGGGCATCACATGGTTTAGTCCTCTATGGCATGTGTTGTTTTCTGACCTGTCGGTTCACTGTATGTATATTTATTTTATCAGTTATTGAGCTAGGCCTATACCCTGGAAAGGCTGGTGTTCCATTACTAATGAACATCAGGCTAAGCAAGACTAGTGTATTATATATGTGTATGGCTACAACAGAGACAGTCAACATTTCTTCATCAAGAAAGATTACGTTGAAAATGAAAACAGGACAGCAAATGTTCACTGTATACCACTTTTTAAAAAAGGATCAATACCTGACTCTCATTCAGGTGCTCTTCATTACCTAATGAAGTAGATCAAATATTATTTTGCAGGACTAACCAGCAACCACTCCACAGTACAAAGAAACCCTCAATCAAGAATTATCTATGCTTCAGGCCAGGCACAGTGGCTCACATCTGTAATTTCAGTTACTCTGGAAATAGAGATCGAGAGGATCACAGTTTTAGGTCAGCCCAGGCAAAAAAGTTAGCAAGACTGCATCTCTATCAATAAGCTGGGTGTGGTGGTACACTCCTGTGGCCCTGGGGGAGAAATAGGTAGGAGGATTATGGTTGAAGGTAGGTACCAGGCAGAAACATAAGAGTCTACCTGAGAAAAGCAAAAAGGGCTGCAGATTTGGTTCAACTGGAAGAGCACCTGTCTAGCAAGCACTAGATCCTGAGTTCAAACCCTAGCACCACCATCAAAAGAAAAAAAAAAAAAGAATTATCTATGCTTTATGCTTTGCTATTGAAAGACAACAACAAAAAAGTCTGATCCTTCACTTTCTTCCTAAGTCAGAAACTGAAATGCTCTTTCAAAACTAAACCCTATGAAGGTACCTGAGATCACTCTAAGTGCTTCAGATATTTTAGAGTACAGCTTTTGAGTTGCACTCCAGCGTGCCCCAGCTGCATTCAAATGAGTCTAAATGCTCCCAAATAGCCTCCATCACAAAATGAGCAATTTTTCAATTAAATGGAACTAGAGATTTTCAAGAATAACAAAAATCACAAACATAATGAAAGCATAAAATGGACAATATTGCAAGTCAAAGGAATATGTAATCCTATAAGATAAATATCAACTGTACAGTTATTTAAAAACCAGTTTGAAAATCCAATATGTAGAACATCATTAAAATATATCAATACTATCAATGCTAAAGCCAAACAGAACTGCTGATCAATTCATTTGATCAAATTACAATTACTATAAGATAATTACAATTATTATAAGAAAAAAAGGCTCAACCCAAAATATAATTTTATTCAGCTCTAAAACCAAGGATTTAAGTTACCTAAATCAAATCATAGCTAAGAGTTTAAGTTCTGGACTACTTGGTGACCATTCTGAAAAATATTCTCACCTGTTCAATGACATAAAAGGCAAACTCAAGCCGCTGTTTCTGGAGCATTGGAATCAGGTGCAAGAAAAAAATTGGAAGATGTTCATGGCGATTGCGGAAAGGAATGAGAACTGCCACCTTTAAAACAAAATAGTCACATTTTTAGTAAATATAGCAGCAAATCCTAGAGGCAAAGATAAAAACTGACTCTTGGAAACTTCTGATGTCTTTAAAGTCACACCCCTATGTACTTTCTCACTGGAGATACCACAGTGAGCATGCACACACACATGTGCGCACACGTACGCATATGCACAGAGGCTTTGCCATCATGCCACTTATGGTCTTTCTCGTGAAGCTGGGGAGGTACATGTGGCCTCTGAAGACCATTCTGAGAACTATGGTCCTTCTCCTACAAGTACCAGAGGAAATCACTGGAAGGTTCTGAAAGAGTGGTAAATTAGATTTGGTGATCTAAGACTACTGTGGTGACTACATGAAGAGTAAGTAGATTGAAATAGACCAAAATGGACTCAGAGAGCTGGTTAGGACAGTAACACAGTAGTCCAGGCCAAGAGGGATAACGGAAGCTTGAATTAAGGTGCAGGTGAAGGAGAAGAGGGGTAGGTGGATTTCTGAGACATTTCAGAGGTAAATTAACAGGATTTGGCTGTGAACTGGGTGTCAGGAATGTGGCAAGAGTAGCTCGTAGGTTTAAAGTTGATCCTAAATAATTTTTTGGGAAGACATTAAATGAAATACTTCAAACACGTAAAGATAAATACCCCATATTCTCACTCATAGCCAAAAACTAAAACAAGAAGAGAGTAGGAGAAAGAGTAGGAAGGGTAAGAGGAAGAAGAAAGACAGACTGGATGATGGATACCAAAAATACAGTTAAAAGGAATAAAGTCAAGGGTGACTACAGTTTATGACAATCAATTATATAATTTTATGATGAACTGGAGGGAAGAATTCAAGGTGTTTAAAATAAGAAGTGATAAATGTATAAGGAGACAGAAATGCTAATTTATCCTGATTTGGTCATTATATACTATATATACTGAGTGATCATACTGTAACTCATAACTGTACAATTACATGTCAAATAAAAACAAAGAAAAAAGAAATAATCTTTTGGATTTTAAATTGAATTGAAAAAGAGGCTCCACTTGAATGTCTACTATCTCTACACAGCCTCAAGATTACAGTGAGTTACACAGACCACTTCAGGCCAGCCTGGGCTACAATAGTAACACTCTGTCTCAAAACAGCAATAAAAACACAACCTTATAAAATATGACCATGAAATAAACATTAAGTCTGATGATTAAGTTAATACTTTCATTTAATCAAAATGCACAATTAAACTTTTGATACATTTTGTAAATTTATTTCAGAGGTACAGTAATATTCAGTTGAAAATGAGATTATGCTAGAACATTAAACATAACAAAAATGATCACATAAACAGTACAGAAAACAAAGAAGTTTGTCCTTCATAAATAAAAGAAACTATGCTCATCCAAAAACAAAAAGAAAAAAACCATTCATATGGAAGTGAAAATGGTTTCTCAGCACATCAATCTTTCTTCTAATCTAGAAAAAAAAAAGAAAGGGGGGAGGTACAGGCTCAATATTTACCTAGTATGCATGAAGCCCTGGGCTCAATCCCCAGCACCATTGTGTATAGAGAAAAACACCATCTATAAAATGTGTTAATACAAGTCAGGCATGATGACTCACGCTTGTAATCCCAGGTACTCTTTAGGTAAAGATGGGAAGGATTATGGTTTGAGGCCAATTCAGATAAAAAGTTAGCAAGACCTAATCTCAATCACTAAGCTGGGTGTGGTGGTATGTGTGTGCAGAAGGCAGTAGGTAAAAGGACTGTGGTCTGGCTGGGTAAAAAACATGAGGTCCTACTTGAAAAATAACTAAAACAAAATAAGGTTGGGGGAAGTGGCTCAAATAGTAGAGTGCCTGCCTGGCAGCCATGAGTTCCTGAGTTCAATCCCCAGTACTGCAAATAAATAAATAAACTCAGGCAATATGGGAGTAAGTGAATAAGTATCAATCATCACTCAATTCCTCTATTTCTTGGATCCAAACTTTGATGTAGAAGCTAAGTTGCTTAAAATTCAGATTTTACTCTTCAAAAGGCTAAAATGTTTTCTAAGTTACTTTTCTTAGCAATTTCTGAGCTAATTTTTTTTTAAAACAAGCTTTCTACACATAAATTCCAAAGTCATTAGATTTATAAACAACCTAACAGTGAAATTATATCTAACTAATTAAATATCTAACTAAAATACCTCTGTCACTCTATATTCTGGATTTTTAAATCCAATCTAAACTGGTTTTAACAGCAAATCATGTAAGAACATTAAATCCAGAATTTATTAAAATTTTACCTATACAAATAAATTTTACCAATGAATGAGTAAATATAAATAATTGAGGATGCTTAAGTTCTGAACCTAATTCTACTTGTAAAATGAGGATGTGACATTAGACACTGTCAACAAAAAACAACAACATTGGAGTGTGGGGGGTGTGGCTCAATGAGCGAACATGGAGTTAGCATGTGCAAGACCCTGGGTTCAATCCCCACCACCAAAAGAAAAAAAAAAAAACAGTTAACATTTACCCATGTATTTCACATTACCAGAATCATAAATGGGACAGAATTCTAAATTATTGTTTTATTTTAAAAAGGGAACAAAGTATGGTTTAGTAAAATTGAAGATATCTAATCTGGAAACCCATTCACATTCCTTTAATGCCGAAGAAATAGGAAAAAAAAGAGACATAATGGTTACCATGAGGCTGGGGTTTTCATGCTTGCACTAATGATTTTGTATTTGGTAAGTGGGAGGAACTAATGCGGTTCCAACATCCCTGGTCCCATTCCTATTTGGTTTGCCCCATAAAGTGTCTTGGCTCTGGAGTCTGAGGCTCCATACCAACACTGACCCAACATCCAAGACTGCCTCACATCCCCACAAGACAGATCCTGGATGGGGTTGTGAACTCCCTACTGAGATGGGATTTGCTGATGGGCTTCAGTATAAGTAGCACAGTCAAGAATTCCTAAATCAATGCAGCTGCCAAACTAGTTCAGAGCACCTTAGGTTTATTCTTAATACAGGAAATTGCTATGGAAAGTAAGAGGAGATAGAGGAATTAGACAGTGAGTACATATCCCTACCACTTACCTTACCTGAGGTCTATCAACATGATAACTTCTATCGAAATAAGGGTCAAGCCTGCCCCTCCTGGTTTTGCATTTTGCCACAAGTTGGTTGCTTATGACATAATGGAAATAAGCTATAAGAGCAGTTAAAGTAAATTATAGATATTTAAGGGAAGAAGTTATCAAATGGCTGCAGAGTATATATTAAAAAGTCCGTATTAAGGGCTGGGGGTCATGGCTCAAGTGGCAGAGCCAGTTCAAAGTGCAAAGTCTTGAGTTCAAACTGTAGTAGCACAAAAAAGTCTGTATTAATTAAATTAGGCTAACTGACATGGTGAACATGTAAAGATAAAGTCAAAGTCATAATTCTTAATGCAATAAGCTCTTCAATGCAGCATTTAAAATATCAAGAGCTATCTTTTTTGTTTTTACTTTGTTTTTGTTTTTAGTCTTATAAAAAAAACTCCAAATATTATAAGGGAAAGAAATTACCAGAGTCTTGGCAAATTCCAATAAGCTAAACTGACATTTTAATAGCAAATAAATATCCACATTATAATGAGATAATATCAAAGATTATGAATGATAGGCCTAAAGCAAAGTTTTTATTAAACTAAAGCTAGATAGCATCTTAAAAGTTCACTGATGTGTCCCTTCTTGTAGCTATGGAACAACATTCTCAATAGTGTATAATTTATTGTCTAGAAAAAGATCTCAGTGTTCCTTGGTCATTTATTTTAAGGTTTAATAGTCTTTGTTTCAAGACATTCTTTCTTCCGCGTGTCCTAATTTGCTGTGTGAACCACTCTTTTGTTGATACAACCAGTGGAGATGGAGATCATCTGATCATTATCTCCTGAAAGAACACTTCATCTCTCCAAATTCCTTCCTCATCACCTCTTGTCTAAGCAGTTATACCCTTTAGTTACCTCCCACTTTAAAACCACTAACCTTGCTAAATTTATGCTTATTTTTTCCTAAACACTATGAAAAGACAATCATGAAAAAAAAAATGTCTACCACATAAATTTCTCCCATCAAGTTTTTGTCCCATTTTCAACCTTCAGGGATACCAATACAAGCTACGTGCCCTTAAATGACATGGCGTTAGATGCGGTTAATGTAAGGCTTATCCCGCTGTCTGCTGCTGAGTCAGAATGAAGGAAGTAGAAACTGCCAGGCTCTCATTCTGTAGCACTTTCAGTTCTATCTTTCTCATTTCCACTGCTTACACTGCCTGTGGGAATAATTCTCAAACTGGAGGCACTTCATTAAAAACACAGGTTCTTGCCCCCTCCCACTACTGGAGTCTGAATGTCTGAGGGCTTGATTTCAAAAGTCTGTATTTTCACCTAACACTTTAAGTACTTCTGAAACAGTGGCTAAGCCCTGTCTTTGAGGGACTTGGACTAAAAGGGAACTTCCAGTCCTTTTGAGTAGGTACCATCATCAAATAGCTACCTGGTTCTTTATGCCTATAGGTGTTTGACCAGTTATTCAAGTCCCCCACCCAAACCCTGAATGGAAAGTCAATGTCTCAGGTAAACACATCACTTGTAATGACCTGAAAAGCCTCATTATCTTCCTCTTCAACCTCCTCTGCAGAAATAAGCCTACCTCCATACTATGTCCAACATGCACAGAAATCTTCTGCTCAACTCTGCAGTATCAGGAATATCAAGGAAGTATGGAAGTTACTAGTCCTGGAAGATGTCAGTTCTAGTTAATTGGCCATCAACTAACTTGGGTTTTTTTTTTTCCATTAAAAAAAGGAAATCTCAAATATTAAGAACCAAGTCAACAGCTGATGTTTAACATAAATCTAGTTACTTCTTCTTCCCTTCTAATATTGGAACATTACTAGAATGTACACAGGCAAGAAGGGGCAAGAGGAGAAATGTTTAGTTAAAAAATATAGCAAGTACAGCTCAACTCTGAAGGATCTTCAAAACTCCTCTTATATCTTTACTATTTTCATATCTCAGAACTAAAGACTATCTTCTGAGAAGGGTTTGCTAAAAGCTGAAATAAGAGGAGGATCACATGGAACCTAAATAAAATAAGCTAGTTGTTAAATCCCTACATGATTTTGGTCGCAGGAATTCCTTTTAGTACTCCTTACCTACTGAATCACATGGAACTTTTAAGTCTACTAATAACTTAAAGTAGGAACTACTAGTGTAATACAGATGTCTCCCAGAAAATAAGAAGACCTATCATAAAATGTAAAATCATTCTGGTATAGATCACGGGGCAAAATCACTGAAGTATTCCAAACCGAAATTGTCCTACTAGTATGGTATAGTGCACACCTGAGGCATACGATGTATTCCTATTAATGACTCAGCATCAACCTCCATGCCACCTGACAGCATTTATGATGAGTATGTTTTTTCTTCTATTAGGAGTCAATGCACACACTCAAATTCAAATAATAAAAGTAATTTATTTGCCTAAGACATTTTTTGAAAGTAGAATGTATATAAACCGTGTCATATTTCATATAGATACAAAGGTGAGAAATCAAGAAATATGAAAAGATTCATTTATTAAATGAATCTGCTCTGGAAAACAGCATAAGGTAATTATAAAACAGAGTATTTTGCTAAATTACATACTGAAATCCAGTACATAGCTTGTCTGAGGCTATGAGAAAACGGAACATTTTAGTCATCTGCAACAAGACCAAAAGGGTATTTGCTAGTCTCACAGAGTCAATTCAACAAAACCATCTTTACTGCTTGTCTTATAAAAGCATTACAGATGCAGATATAAATTATACATACTCCCTAAACATAAGAGTTCAACGTCAATGAAGTCGAAAGACGTTTATCATGTACTTAACAGCATTTAATTCTCCTCCCTCTTTGATTATTCTGGTACTGACATACAAATATGCTCTGCACTTTGAATCATGCACATCCTTCTTCAAATGCATGGTAAGAGTCACATTGCAGATGAAAAACACTGCCTCACCTTCCATCTTGGTTTACAGTCTTTAGGCCTCCAGTGACCTCCTGGCTCAATATCTAAATCCTTGGAGAAGAGCTGATTAACTTCATCGAAACTGACTTCGCTTACATTGACATTGAGGAATCCCCCTGCAGGTGAAAAAACACATTGTTTTAATATTTTTTGCCTCAAAGATGCACAAATAACAAACAGCAATCAGCAGGGTGATGGCATAACCTTGCTGCCACAGGACAGTTCGTGCTGTTACCACCACACGATGGTTAACAGCATTTCATTTTACTTTTAGACAGTAATCTACACAGTCACCCTACTACATTTGGTAAATCAGTCAAAGAAAATCAGGTTCTTCATCTAACCTTGTGCTTTTGAGTAATACACTGGATATTCAATATTTTCAGGAAAGTGGTTTGCAGGTCATAACATACTGTATTATTGTAATTTAACTATTCAAGTATTTTACAACTATTTTTTTCAGTATTTGACAATGTAACTTTTATTTTTTTAATTTAAAAGAATTTTATTTAGTATTCATGACTTTTATTTTTGTTACTATTTTGCTTTTTGTGAAGTTTGGCTTTCGATTTTTTTATGATTATATTATTATTGTACTGGGGGTACATTGTGACATTTACAAAAGTTCTTATAATGTATCATAGTTAAATTCACCCCTCCATTGTTCTTCTTTATTCCCCTCTCCCCCTATTCCTGGAATGGTTTCAACAGGTATCTTTTTTCCATTTTCATACATGAGTACATAGTATTTCTACCACATTCATCCTCCTACACCCTTTCCTTGTATCTTCCCCTTTCCCACTGGTGCAAACCCCCAGAAATGACCTGTTTTACCTTCCTGTTCTCCTTTTTTGAAAAAGAGACATTTTTGTTTGCTTAAGATAGCTATACAGGGAGTTTCATTGTGACATTTCCATGAATATATGTATTATAACCTAATTTTTCTGCTTTCTACTTTAGTCCCCTTCTTACAGTGATTTCAATAGGTTTAAAAATTCTATATTCATTCTTATATAGAAAGTACATCAACCATATTCACTTTAACTTCCTTCTTTCATTCTCCCTCTCCCATTACTGCCCTCTCCTTAGTGTGACTTGTTTTTCGTAATATCACTTGTATTTGTATTGGACCTATCTTCCACACATGAGAGAAAACATGTGGCCTTTGGCCTTCTGAACCTGGCTAACTTCACTTAAGATGATGTTCTCCAGTTCCATCCATTTACCTGCAAATGAAAAAATTTCATTCTTCTTTGTGGCTGAATAAAATTCCACAGTACATAAATAATATGTTTTCTTAATCCATTCATCAGTAGTGAGGCATCTTGGCTGTTTCCATAGCTTAGCTATTGTGAATAATGCTGCAATAACCATGGGTGTGCAGGTGCCTTTATTACAACCTGACTTACATTCTTTCGGGTATATCCCTAGGAGTGGAATTGCTGGATCCTATTAGTTTTTTGAGGAGCCTCCATATTGTTTTCCATAGTGGTTGTACTAATTTACATTCCCACCAACAGTGTATGAGGGTTCCTTTTTCCCCACATCCTCACCAACATTTGTTGTTTGTTACAACATTTTTAACTCAGTCCTGTCAATATAGGGGATATACTCGTTCTGCTGTTTTGGTTTTGTTTTTGATGATACTGGGGTTTGAACTCAGGGCCCTGTGCTTTCCAGGCAGTGTCTCTGTCTGTCTGTCTCTCTCTCTCTTGGTACCAGGGATTGACCCAGGGCCCCATACATGCTAACTATGTGCTGTGTACTACTGAGCTAGGCCCACAAGCTACTGATGTTTTGTTTTGTTTTGTTTTGTGAGACAGGGTCTGGATATGTAGCCCAGGCTGATCTCAAACTCACAATCTTGCCTTAGCCTCCTGAATGCCAGGATGACAGATGTGTACTGCCACACTCAGCTCCCTGACAGTTCTTTTTTTTTTTCTTGTGCAGGATTCTTCATTTTTTTAAATTTTATTATATTATTGTACTAGGAGTACATTGTGGCATTTATAAAAGTGCTTATATCTTAGTTAAATTCACCCCCACCAAGATTCTCCTTTATCCCCCCTCCTCCATTCTTAGAATAGTTTCAATAGGTCTCATTTTTCCATTTTCATATATAAGTACATAACACTTATACCCTCCTACAACGTTTCCTTATGTCCACTACTCCATGACAGTTATTGAGAGGAAATATGCAAACACAATTCAACACTTATTTTGAGCACTTACCATTTTTCAGGGTCCTTAGTATACAAAACTGAAAAACCAAGACTTCTAAAATATTCCTGGTCTAATAGGCACTCACTCTCTCCAAATAACAAATACTACCAGAGATGTTTTCACTTGGTTTTTCTAACATATACCTTCTAAATAGGAATGAATCTTGGGTGGAAAATTATTTCCCTCAATCCAGTCAAAACCTGAACAAAGTCTGGAAGACTGTGTATCTTCACCCAACCATTAAAATAGCTGCATGACCACCAACATTTCTTCAGAGCAATTCTGTTCTCTGTGTTTCCAATGAAGGACAGTAGAACAAACCACAAGTCATCTTTTAGCAATTAATTAACCTGTCACCTATCATCCAAACAGGTATAGACTGCTCTGGAATCTGACTTTCTCATCCCTCATCCCATAAAATACAAACCAACAAACACTGAGGTTTCCCACGTCATGTCTTCTGAGCCTCTCTTGTGACATTTCATATATAACACTTGGCTCCTCTCCAGACAGCCCCATTGCTCTGATATTCCAAATTCTGCAAGGTTTTCACAACAGCCACTCTTCCCAACCCACTCCATTCTGAGTAGGCAAGATCATCAGGGACTATACTCAGCACTGTGGCACACTAGAAATAAGTATGGTTCCCAAAATAGGCCAGGAAAAATTTGCAATGTTTTACTGATAAATGGCCCTTTATAACGAAATACCCATCTGTTAGTGCGACATGACATACAAACTAGCTACTCTTAGGAAGATCAAATTTTCCCCAAAGGAATAGGAGACCTATCAACTTGGAAAGAAGGGGTAAGTCAAATGTAAGACTGATCAGTCGACGTAAGTACAGATTATCATGACTCAGCTGACAAAAACAAAATCTAACACTATAATTAAATAAAATCCACACAAATAAACCTGATGCATTTAATAGAATGCATGATTGCTAAAATGATAGTGATTAGGCCAAATAATAAGCAGTTTTTATAAGTAACCAAGGCTGGTATCCTTCACGCACTGTTGAACCAATTTTTTGTTTTTTCCAGTTATTGCTTTAACAGCTATAATCATTATTATTTTCAGCTTTCTCTAGCATCATTTACAGTTTACTTTCCAACTCCAATGCACATGCACTGCCAAATGAAGAGACAGAACTCATGTCTTTCTGCTCAATGAAGAGGGCCTCCTGCGACCTCCAATCAGTCACTGATTCTGAGGCTCCCTAAGTAAACCTCCCTCCTGGTTGCCTCCCCAATCCACATCTCTCAGAACCCATTGCAGCTTTCTTATGTGCTTCATCCTCTTTGCTCTGAAAACCTAATACACCACTGGCTGAAGGTCAGAGATGGGCCAGTGGCAAGAGGTTATCCTGCCAGTCACAGCAACATCACTACTCTAAAAGTGGGGAGGGGGAGAAACCTCCCGGGACAGGCACTGTCACCACTAGGAAGAGTGAAAGTGTGATTAGAGAGTGAGAGGAGGAAGAATGAACACTGACTATTTGGTGGGGGGTGGAGGGGCGGAGTTAAGGTGATGGTGTTGGAGAGAAGACCCTGTGCACAGGAAGGGAAGGGACAGAGAAACAGGAGGCAGCTCTAAGAACATGAGCCAGTGCTGATGTGCTTTCCAACTGTCCGCAGTGGAAGAACTCTTGTGGGGAGCTGAGGAAGGACAGAGCACAACATGGACGTCCCCAACTAAGACCACTTCAGCCTGTTTTATGTACTGGGTATCCCCCACTTTAAGTTTCACTCAAGTGTTCCATTCCTTTAAGAAAGCCTTTGAGGGCTGGGATGTAGCTCGGTGGTACAGCGCTTGCCTAGCATGCGTGAGGCCCTGGGTTCGACCCCAGCACCAAAAAAGAAAAGACAAAAAAAAAAAGCCTTTGAAAATCACCTGCTGTGACAGAACCAGGAAGGTACATCTTTTCTTTACTTGTAAGGTAAGCCTCCAATCAGCCCAGCCTAGCCCCATGAGTTCACTTACTGAGATTTCAAGGGACAAATGAAGAAAAGGATCCACTGAGCTCCAGAGGACTAACATCTCCCTCTCCCTGGGCTAAATCTGAAATTTTTAACTGAGAACAAGTGTTTTCCTTCCCTAGTTAGAAATTTAAAGGTTAAATATACGATGGAGAAATAGCAGCCTCTTCAACAAAAACTGCTGGGAAAACTGGTTAGCAGTCTGCAAAAAACTGAAACTAGATCCATGTATATCACCCTATACCAAGATTAACTCAAAATGGATCAAGGATCTTAATATCAGACCCCAAACTCTTAAGTTGATACAAGAAAGAGTAGGAAATACTCTGGAGTTAGTAGGTATAGGTAAGAACTTTCTCAATGAAACCCCAGCAGCACAGCAACTAAGAGATAGCATAGATAAATGGGACCTCATAAAACTAAAAAGCTTCTGTTCATCAAAAGAAATGGTCTCTAAACTGAAGAGAACACCCACAGAGTGGGAGAAAATATTTGCCAATTATACATCAGACAAAGGACTGACAACCAGAATATACAGGGAACTTAAAAAACTAAATTCTCCCAAAACTAATGAACCAATAAAGAAATGGGCAAGTGAACTAAACAGAACTTTCTCAAAAGAAGAAATTCAAATGGCCAGAAAACACATGAAAAAATGCTCACCATCTCTAGCAATAAAGGAAATGCAAATTAAAACCACACTAAGATTCCACCTCACCCCAGTTAGAATAGCCATCATCAGCAACACCACCAACAACAGGTGTTGGCGAGGATGCGGGGAAAAAGGAACCCTCTTACACTGTTGGTGGGAATGTAGACTAGTACAACCACTCTGGAAAAAAATTTGGAGGCTACTTAAAAAGCTGGACATCGATCTACCATTTGATCCAGCAATACCACTCTTGGGGATATAC